AATATATATTTTAGACAAATTTTTTATTAGATAGATCTTTAAATAAGAAGTATCAATCATATAATGATCATACAAGCTAAAAAAAACATAATGATCATGATTATAAACTTATAAAGATAAAAAGTATCAAAAGATCAGAAACGATTTGCACACAAAAGGTAGAACATCGCCTAATTTCGACCAAATTAAAACTTTATCTTAGAAAATAACAAGGCGCAGCTTATAAATAACTTTGGCAATGGTCAAAGTGGTCCTTACTCCTTAATTAATGTTAGTTAATTAATGCACTAACGGTGGTGAAAAATCTTCCTATAGCTCCATTTGAAAATCCGCTTTCTTTGAATAGATTATGCATATTGATTTATTCTAAGTAAAAAGAGTCGATTAAAATTAATGAAATAGCAGATTAATTGTATGTTAGTAAATAAGTACAGCTTTATAAGGTTAAGAGCAATTTTATTTAAAATACCTAGAAAATAATTAGTCAAATTATTAATAGAAATGTGCTTCTCACCTGTATAATCAGGGTTCAAACCATCATTGTCCCTCCTCACCCCATCCTGTCCCACCTCACCTCGGCCTGCCCTTTCTCGCCCCGCCCCGCCCCGCCCCGCCCTGCTCCTGGAGGGTTTAAATCAATTGGCCCATACCATCAAAAATGTGAAAATTTTTTAAGTAAATAAGATATAAGTGCAGTATGAGATTGAAAATATTATCATAGTTTTAACAAGTCAAAATGAATAGAACATTTTATTTTTGGGAAAAAATGAGGAGAATACTTGTTAAGAATATATAACCGTACAAGTGCGTGCATGCACACATAGCCCGAACTACATTTTTTCTCCATTAGATGGCAAAAAATATTTTCCTTTTATTGTAGATCTCCAAAACAAACACCGGAAGCCCAAATAGTACAGACCTTCTAAGCCCAAATCCTACGGACCTTCTAAGTTCTAACAACCTTCTGCTGACGAGGGCCGTGAGGCTGTGTCCAGCCCACTTTTAAATAACAAAGGCTAGGCTTTAATCATCGACCATCTGCAATGTTAACGTCTCGCCTCGTGCCATTTACCAATCAAACATTCAAAAAACGTATCTCGCGATCTTAATCTCTTCCCCTTATCTCCGAGTATCGGTAGTTACGCTAATTCGAAATCGAGAACCCTTAGTTCCTAATTCTTACTCTTTAATTACCTGAAGAACCAGATGTTAGATGAATTGAGCTCACATGGTGTTTTGATAATGACCCATTTCCTAATGAGTCTTCAATTTCCAAGATGATTGCTTGCTACGTGGAAAGTTATAAGCTTGATGATGCACGGGAGCTGTTTTACGAAATGCCCGTTAAGGACACCCTTCCTTTCTTGGAATTCATTGATTAGAGTATGTTTTGTGTTGTAGGGATTTTTAGCTATGGCTTGGAAGCTATTTGATGAAATGCCTGGGAGGAATGTCTTTTCTCGGAGAACGATGGTACATGGCTATTTGCGGATTGGGAGGGTTGCGGTGCCTGGGGAGGTTGTTTT